CAATTCACAAACCATGTGAGTTTAATTCAGGTGGGGGCGAAAGAATTTTTATTAACTATGGATCTCAATACATCCGACTTTTCTTCTAGCTGATCTATATTAATGATATTCAAGTGATGATATGAAACATTTATGTAATACTTATGTTAATAATGAATTTTTTTTTTTTTTTTTTTAATTTAAGGAGTTTTATATATATACATTTTTTAAAGATTTTAGCATCTTAAAAGTTTTCTTTTTGAAATTAAAAATTAAAATTGTTTTATATTTTATTAAAAAAATGTTTTCTATAATATATCCGACTTTTAATGTTTTCTTAAAAGTCAATAAAATAAAAACAGATTTAATTAAATCAATGTAATTCAAATGAAAATGCGTTTGACGAGTCTATTTGCTGCTGTTTTTTTATTCTGCGTACACTTTTGACAATTTCCTTTTTGAGTTCTAGGGCAACTATCAGTGATTCGATGCTTTCCTTAATCTAAAAATTTTCCTTTATCTTGTTTCTTTCTTTCTTCTGGATCTTCTAAGTCACATTCATTGACTTCGGTTATAATTAGTTAAGTTAAATTTTTTTTCCTTCCGTTTAGTTCTCGAATGACTTGTACAACAATGGTTTTATCTCTGTTTATTATTTTTGTGCCCCCTTTTATGATGTCCGCCGGGTGACTGAGTTAGTTACTTCGCTGCTTGTTGGCTCTGCTTGTTTCAGGAAGGTAATTTCTTTTTCAAGATAAAGATTTTTTTTTTTTAGAGCAGTAATCATCTTTTTGTTTATTGTTGCCTGGGCTTTCAGCAAGCTGATCTCTCTCCCAAGTTCAAGGACATGAACGGTCAACTGCCTTATCCAGTCCATCATATCAATTTGAAACTGAGTTTTCTAATTTGAATTTGAGGAAGTTTGATTCCATAGCTGCAGAAAATCTCTTGACGTCATAATGCTAATTAATTATGGTTTTAAAGTCTCTTTTGAAGTTTTAACCAAATATTATTTATATATTATTAGTTATTAAATCTTATTAACACAAATAGAATTATTAGTTTTTTTGTGTTTTTTCCATCTTACTTAACCTAATTTTAATATATTAATATGGTTATTAATAATATAAATATGGTTAAAATTAATACATTTTAAATAAAATTTATATAATAAATATTAAGTAATAATTAAAAATGGTTTAATTTAAATATGGCTATTAATAATCATGGTTTTATTAAATGATTTTTAATCCATTACTTTTAATTTTTTTGAAGGAAACCGCTTTTTCTCTAATGAATACAAAGATCCAGATAATATATATATATATATATATATATATATATATATATATATATATATATATATATATATATATATATATATATATATATATATATATATATATATATATATATTTTTTTTTTTTGCGATACATTACCAAATGTGTTTAATTTTACCCTAAAAAAATTAGGATTTTTTTTTGTTTAGAATGCAATTAAAAAAAGTTTAATTTGAATTAGAATTCTCCAACACAATATAAGAAGTTTAAAACGGAATTATGATTTTTTTTTGTTGAAAAAACAAAAAAATCTTTTTAATATCATTTGTTTAACTGAAACATGAGTTACATTAAAAAATTTTGACAATAATATTGATAAAATTATCTCACAAGAAAGATAAACGAATGAACGAATCAAAATTTTTGTCCATAGAGCAAATCCAGGTTTCGCGTTTTTAATAGAATCCCGACCCAAATATAATAAGTGCTTGAATATCGAATTTGTTTTTAAAAGTGATAACAAATTTTTCTATAAAAAATTAAAAATAATTACCTAATATAATATACATGATACTTATTTATCTATCGCAAATTGTTACAAAAAAATGAGTATAAACGATTAAAAAATAGTCTTGATTTTATAAAAAAAACGCGAAACCTGGGTTTGCTTATCGGAAAAAAAGTATTTACCGAATAAACGGGACAAAGGGACTCTAACTATTTATGTTCATGAAAATCTCTTTTATAATATGAGAAATTATTCAAACGTATCCGATAAAGAAGTTTTAACAATTGAACTTTTACTTAAAACAACAAAAAACATTACTCTAAGCTGTTGTTATCGACCACCAGCGAAAACCTTAAGGCCGTTTTCCACAAGACGAAATATTCGCGCGAAGCGAGTTTTTTCGCTATGAAGAAACTTCCACTTCCTTTCTTTCGCGCTACTTTTTTTTCGTTGTCAACAATAAAAATGGCAGCAATAAGTTTAAACTGTATGTTTAACTAAAAACAGTTATTACTTTTTTGGCGGACTTGTAAACGGAGCACCCCTCTAATTTTAAAACACGTTTTATCGAAGATGATATTTTACTGACCTAATAAAATTAATTAATTAAATTAATTTAAGAGTAATTACACCAATTGATCATAATTAATGAATAAAGTTAAGTGTAAATGCTTTGACTATCCATTAGAGATTGACACAAAGAAATATACATTCATTAATTGACCATAAGAATTAGGACAGTTTTGGTCACAATTATTAGTATTTCATAGGGGTGCGTCGTTAACAAGTCCGCCACTTTTTTAGCATAATTTCTACTTTTAAGCATGTGAAAATTTCTTTCCGTGAATTAATAATAGCATTTCTGTCTTTATATGTAAAATGTGATATCATTTTGTAAAATAATTATTTAATTTAAGGTTTTTTTTACAAGAAAGTATAACAAAATAAATGCTAAACTCTGATATGATCATTTCTATTAAAAACTGTTACTGTAAGAGCGAACAACAGGTTTAACTCTATTAATGGTTTTACACAAAAAGGTTTATCTTCGTGTGGCCAATTGAAGATAAGCACACTTATGAAGTGTAACTTTCGTAATTGACAGTGTGAAAATTTATATTTGTAAACACTCGATTTAGTTTTAAATATAAGTCTTGTCATTTTTTTATACAAGTCTTGCTCCTTATTTCATGAATTTACTCATCCTTGCTAATTTTCAGAGTAAGTTCATATGAAATTAAAAAAAACATTTAAGAATTTTGTTTTTTTTCACTTTAAAAACAACATGATTTCGCTTGTTTTTACTGTTGATATCATTTGATATAATATTCAAAACTTCATTGGTTTTCGCTTATGGCGATTTGCAAAGTCGAAATGAATCCGACTTTTTTCTCGCTGCAGCGAAACGCTGTAACGAAAAAAAATCAGAATAATTACCAAAAATGTTTAATCTGCGCATGCTCATTGACGAAAAAATTAGCTTCGCGCGAATATTTCGTCTTGTGGAAAACGGCCTTAAGGTGGTACACAACCATAAAAAATAAAATTAGAAATAAAACAATGCACAAAAACTTTTTAATTTTTTTTTTCATTTAAAATAAACTATTTAGAAATAATTAAATTAAAAAAGTAGTTAACCAAGTATTTTTGCGTCGATTATTACTATCAAAATTGATATTTTGATGATATATTGTAAACAAAGTATTTAAAAATACGATGCGCTATTCGATGACAAGCTTTGTGTATAAAATAATAGTTTTAGTTCAACTCCATTAAAGCTTAATATACAGGAAAAATTTCAACCTAAAAGCTAATCCTGATCTTGAAATATCATGTTTTAAAGTCAACAAAATGGGTAAAAATTAAATACTGAGAAAATTACAAAAATAAAAATAAACTGACAAAAAATATTATGATTTTCTTAATATGAGCCTCCTAAATAAGCAGGTATCTCTTCATTTTCTTTTTCTTTATCTAGAAATCCTTTTCTAATGGCTCTTAATTTTCTTTTTGCTTTTACACCTTTGATTGATGACTTTCTATGAACATTTCTTATGCGCTCTATATCACTTTTTTTAAATGCATTATGCATAAACTGTGAAACTGGCAGTCCAAGCATTTGCATTATTGGGCTTAAGCCAGATTTATCATCATTAAGTTTAATGATTGCTGAACAAATACCAATTTCAAGAAATTTTCGTGACACAAAAGTTTCCTTTGGGCATTTTTCCCAGATCATACTTTTGTTTCTATTTTGAATTTGGCCATGCAAACATTTTAACTATAGCGATTCTGCTGATAAATCATACCAAAATGACATTAACAAATCTTTAATTGTAATTGGGAGGCTTATGTTTTTCTTGTAAGTACTAGGAATATGACAGTTCTGGAACATTTTCATTTTCATTTTCAACCATATTTTCAACCATATAATTAATTAAATATATGATTCGTTTTAATCTATAGTGTGTATAAATTGTATAACTAAGAAATAAATTTTTAGATGATTTAAAAATCATTCAGACTTCGTTAAATTAATTTTTTAAATTTAAAAATCAATTTTCAAATTAGCGTTTCTTGCGCATGTGTTGTTTGCTAGATGAAGTCGTCGTTACAGTGGTATTTGTATTTACATTACCAGAAGTAGCTGTTACGCATACGTTTACCTTAAATTTGAGTTTTGCATTTTTATATATACAAAATAATTATTTATAAATTTATCAATTCTTTATTATTAACCCATGAGTTAAAAGTATCCCCAGCAGGCACAATGATGTTGAAATAACGTTGAAACAACGTCGCAAACCGACCATATACCACGTTGAAACAACGTTGAAATTTGGTTGAATTGGAAATAAAATCCGACGTCGAAAACTACGACGTTGAAACAACGTCGATGACTACGTCGTTTCAACGTTGATCTAACGTCTTATCGACTATATTTCAACCATATTTCAACTTTGAATAGGTGATATATTCGATTGATACGTAGTTGATAAGACGTTAGAACAACGTTGAAACAACGTAAATTCAACGTTGATTTTTGTTTTTTATTTTGGTTAAACCCAACTAAAAAATTATCTCAACTTTAATTGCAATAAAATAACACAATAAAAAAGCAATAATTTGCGCAGAGGATATTATATTTCACGTAAAGTAATCAGATACAACTAAATTGCTTCAACGGACTTTATATACAATGCAAATAAAGTAAAATGTTTGAAAGAAAAAAGTTTTATTTATCAGTAATATATTTATCAATTTATCAATAATAACTATTATCAATAGTTCCAGAACAACTAGGAAAAAGTATGAATATTATACATCGGGTGAATCGCTTTTTACGCGCCGACCACCACCATTTGATCTGTCGAGTGCGTATTTTAATAAAGTCATTATTCCTTTTCTTATTTCGGCAACTGTAGCAGTCACTTTAATTGACAAAACGCTCTCTATAAAAAAGGTATTGCCTGAGTAATTTACATCAAATACATCAAAAAGTTTAAAAAATAAATTAGCATTAAAAAAACGAACTGTGATTTTAAAAAATATATAATTTCACACTTAACTTACAAGTAAATACCTAATGTTTGTTCCTTTAAACTTCTCTTTACCTTTACCGCCAGCCATATTAAATTTTGATTATAAACCATTGGTTAACAACCTGCATTATACATTGTTATTATTATCATTATAGTTACATTAAAAATTGATAAACATGTCTTTTACAAAATACAAATTATTCTCAATGAAAAATTGCACAAACCGCAAAGGTTTCTTACCAAACCGTAATGCAAGCAAGAAAAAGAATTGATACAGGGGAAGAGTTTGGTCTAAGGAGACCACCTTCTAAACGCAAAACACCAAGAGCAGGCAGTATAATCAAAAATATCTGCCTGGAAAAGAGAAAAAAAGCCACTAAGCTTATCCGTGAAGCTGTAATTGTTGTGTCAGACCGGACCATTTGTAGAAGGCTAAAAGAAGAGGGATTGATGTCCAGCCAAAAAAGTCAAAAATTGACAAAAAAATTTAAAAATAATGTCAAAAATCTTATATTTATGCAAGATGGTGCAACTTGCCACACAATAAAAACTGTTATGGCTTAGTTGATATATTGCTATAGCCAGACAACTCGCATAATCTTAACCCCATAGAAAACATTTGGGAAATAGTAAACCAAGAGATTGGAAAAAAAAAATCTTACTAATAAGCAACATCTTATGGAAGAGATTATCAAGATCTAACCTAATAACGCAGAGTTGACAGAAACTATAAAAAATAAATTGCAAGCATGCCTCAATGCAATGAAGCAGTTATTGCAAATAAAAGTGTTTTTGCAAAATATTTATACTTTATATATAATTTATATAATTTATCATAATAATCAATAAATATTCAAAATGTTCAACTTTATTTATTTTTATCAAGTACAACTTTATAAATAAAAGAAAAAACTTTAAATTGCACCGTTATTTTATATATATATATATATATATATATATATATATATATATATATATATATATATATATATATATATATATATATATATATATATATATATATATATATATATATATATATATATATATATATATATATATATATATATATATATATATATATATTCATATAAGCATATGTATGTATATATACATACATATATATGTATGTTTATTTATGTGCATATATATGTTTGTATGTATAGAGTAAAAAAAAGGTTAAGTATGCGTTACAAATCAACCTTTGTACTTTAAGGTTGTTCTTTAGCTCAAGGAAATACAAAAGTAAGAGAACAGTTACAAAAAAAATTATAATCAGACATAAAAAAAAAGATTTATTTTATGTCTGATTAGAATTTGTCAAACTTTTAAAAATATATGCTACACATATTTTTAACACAAGTTTAAAACAAACTATAATAAAAAGATTCAAAAGATTTTTTATTAAAAACTACTTTTAACAAACCTTTGCATCACATTTATTTGTCTTTAGAAAGTTTGTTAACCTAAAGGTTTAAGAAAATAATTACACCACATTATTTTTATTGTACATTTATAAAAAGCTACAAGTAGGTTAACTTAGGCTAAGTTATTAATAAATAATTAATTAAAAAACAATAAAAAAACTGCAAAAAGTCATGGTTTGAAACAACCCATCACTTCTGACCTCACACAAGAATCATTTAAACTGTTATCATAATCATTAAATTACTGCTGCAAGTTCATCCATAGAATTTCAGAACTATTTGTCATGATATTACTTTAATTACTGAAAAGAGTTTTTTCTAATATCTCTTTCTAACAATAAAGATATATCAGAAAGATAAAAGAACCAAACATTAATTAATTTCTAAAAACATTGAAACACAAGAACAAAAAATTAATAAAATAAAACATTATTCATAATTTAAATAAAATGTATTAATTTAGCAACCAAAGAAATGTGTAAATCACTGAAGCATAGAAAAAAATGTTCAGAATCTTTTCTTCCTAAATCAACTTGCAGACAGACAATTAATACCTTGAGCTACAATGTGTGGAGTATACATAAAAATTGTTTTCTGTTTTTTTTTTTTGCGTTACAGGAGTAGGTATTTGCTTACTATTCTGTTGGTTATTATTTTTTTTCTTGCATAAGCTCCTATAAAAATTAATATCAAAATTAATATCAAAATATAACTAATAATACTTGAATTAAGTATCTTTTGAAATAGTTACCGTTTTCTCAACCTGATTCTATCTGAGTATCACTAGTAGAGGCAAATTCAAATTTATTACATAACTCATGATCTAAGAATATTCATTAAATTTAAAAATGTTTTAAATACATTATATAATAAAGAATATACAATAAAGAATATATCTAAACACCGAAAACAACATATACAGAATGAAAGCATGTTAAAAAAACAAGGAAAAAAGTAAGGACTTAAGGTTTATATAAAAAAAAAATTACATTATCTCCATGACATTTAATTTTGAGCAGCGTAAATCTGTATTAGTTAGATGCGGTTTATGCATTTCATTGAAACAATTTATTACATTTAATGATGATGGCCAGCACAAAAAATTATCAATAGAATTTTCTCTCTTTATTTCTCTGTATTTTTTATCCAAACAGCTCAAATGAACATTTTGCATGCCCTACTATACTTTTTCAACTGGAAAAGTATAGCAGAAAATATAATAGAAAAAATACTTAAATATTAAAAATTTGTTCATGTAAAATAGCTAACAGAAAAATACAACTTTAAACTGTACGTTATGATACATTATACAGTTGCTAAAATTTGCTAAATTTTTATGTTGATCCTTCTACCAACCAATATCATGGACTAAAGGAGCATGCACAAATTCTTTTTTATACAACTTCTACAAAATCTTTGAAAAATTTAATAAAAATTTTTAATATAAAAAATATTCAAACTCTTTAAATCACATGGATTGGTAAAAAGCTTGATAAATCATTATTTTGTAAAACATCATCCATTATATATATTTATATTATGTATGTATATATACATATATAGTGTATGTATATATTATATATGCATATTATATATATATATATATATATATATATATATATATATATATATATATATATATATATATATATATATACATGCATATATATATATATATATATATATATATATATATATATATATATATTAGGTATGTGCACTGAAATTTTTATATTGATCATATAGTAGAATGTTATACATCATTAGAAAGGCCTTTAATACATTATTTTAAAGGTGAAAAAATTATTAAAAACGAACAATTCTAAAAAAAGTCATAACATTTTTAGTAACAAATTTTAGATATATGGAATTGTTGAAGAAACTGTGGTCAAAATAATTATTTTTTTCACTTAAATTGTTATAACTTTGTCAATTTTTATCCAAATACCTATATCTTGGTATCACAAGATAGGTGCACTAATGGGCTACAAGTTCATTTTGGTGCCTGGATGTAGGGTGTATTTTGGGAGCCAGAGGGGGTAATGAAACACCATCTAACCCTTAAGAAAATACAAGTTTTTGTCAGAAATAAGCACTTTTTAAATGTAATTTTTATATTTTATACACAAAATATTGCCATAACTTGATTCCAAAACACTGCCAAACAAAATAAGGTGATCTTAGAGTTGACCATAGATGTGGTTGTGATGTTATAACACCCTAAATACAATAATCATACATTCTAATAAATAATTTAATCTTTTTTACAGTAATTAAATATTTTGTTAAAAAGTAAAAATATTTTTTTTTACTATAAAACATACATTAGTGATATACAACACTAACTTTAGGGGAGGGTGTATGTCGCACCCTCCCCCCCCCCCTATCACTCATAAAAAATAAAAATAATTTTTTATTTATTACAATAATTAAATGCATTGTTAAAAATTAAAAAAAATCTTTTATTACTATTCAACATATGTTATTGATGCACACATTGACTTGAAATGAATGAAGTATGATGCACCCCCTCTCCCCTCCTCCCATGTGACAAAAAATAATCTTTTATAACTATACAACGTTGAATTTGAAACATTGGTATTGATAATATTGTTGTATTACATAAAGCAATATTTTTTTTTACTATAGAACATACATTAGTGATGTACAACTTGAGGAGAGGGATAGTTTTCCCCCTTCCCCTCAACCAACATAAAAAAGAAAACACATAGAAAAGACATTTTCAACATTTTCACATGCAATTATTAAAAAAGAGAAAGCAGAATACATAATTGTTTTACCAGATTACAAGTCGCACAAGTATACATTTTCTCATTTAAATGATCATATTTAACCCACCAACCTAAAAAAAAAAATAATAATAATAAAATGTTTTAAAACATAGTAACTACTCTATGTCTTGGCTTTTAGTAAATGATTATAATTTTAAGATCAAAATGACCTATAAGCTTCATATGTAAGCTCTAAAAACAAATAAAATATTAATGTATTTGTAATTCATGTAATTAAAAATTAAAAAAATTAAAATAAATACTTACTAAGACAGATTGTCTGAATAAATATAAAGAATGATTAATAAATCAATGAAATTTTTAATAAAAGTTAATCAGAATAAAAACTCAAACATGTATAAGCTTCTGATTCTCCTTTTATAGCACTTGGAGAGATAACAAAACACAAAAGTATTAAATAGATGATATAAATGAGAGGAACTCAGTAAAAAATCAGAGACATTCTAGATTTATAAATTTACAGTTTAAAGGTGGTAGGGATGGAACTAAAAGTAAAATTTGTTTTAATAAAAAATACAAATTGCAAATGGTAATAAATGCATTCATAGTTTAAAAAGTAATAATTTTTATATAAAAATGGTTTTAATTAAAAACCAGTTGATAAGAAATGCAATTGCAAAAAAGAATATGCAATTGATAAGAAATGCATACACATGTTAAAAGAAAAAAGGTTTTGAAACTTACCAGGCGTAGCCACACGTATAAAGAACTAAAGGTAAAAAATATATTATAAAAATCAATATTGCAATCAATGAGAAATTTGTGCACATTAAAAAGAGTTGTTTAACTTACCAGGTGTAGCACAAGAGGTAGATACTAAAATTACAATGTTGTAACAAAAAATCAATATTTTAAATAACGAGAAATGTATGCATTTCTTGTTATTTAAAATAATTTAAAAAACTATTACATAAAATGTAATAGTTTTTTAAATTACTAATTGCAGCACATAACTAAGGAAATAAAGTTAAACATATTGTAAAGTTTTCACATTAAAAAGTTGTTTAACTTACCAAGTGTAACACAAAAGATAGATACTAAAATTAAAAAATTGCAGCAAATAGGAAATCCATACACAACAAGTAATAATTAAATAAGTAGGAAATACATATATTTATTTATATTTCTTTAATGGTTAATAAAAGTTATGCTATAATAACTTAACAGCTGTAGTCTGTGCATATTGGAATAATGATAACAAAAAAATTGTATAATCAAAAAAAAAAGATCTTGAAATTGTCAACAGTCAATAAAAATAAGTTATTAAATCAGTTCTGCTTTACGTATAACAACTTTACTAACAAGAAAAAGGTATGAAAAAAAAACTAAAAACAAATAATATTACTGTATTTTAAACTATATATACCAATGGTATATATAGTTTAAAAAACCTTAATCTTTGTTTACATGCCATGTAAACAAAGATTAAGGTTTTTAAATTTATCATTGTTTTGTTTTTTAAAAAAGTTATTATTATCATGAAAAACATATTAACTTACTTTTTAAAGTTTTCTTTTCCATAACTTTACCATTTTTATTTGAATTTTAATCTAATATTAAGAATTAAAATAATACAATGTAGTAGTAATTTTTTGTTTACAATCTGCTTCCCCCCTATCCTCCCCCGTATTTCTCTTACTGATAAAACAAAAACAAAAAAAACCGAATTTAGGTACCGAAAGTCCTACACTTCTTAAACTATCTGCTCCCAATTATTTTTTGCTGAAATTTGGCATGTGCAAAGAAAATGCATGTAAAAAATTGCCTGAATAACAAAAAAAGCGGACACGACATTCCTTCGACAACAAATTAATGTGAGAACATCAACGAAGTTTTCTTGAAAGTTTTCAGCAAAACTAACCATAAAAAAGTTTAGTGATTATACATAAAAGTACTACAAAAAACGTTTGTCTAACCCTACTTAAAAAAAGCAGTATATTTAATAAAGCACCTTGTAACATATCTGCTCCTAATTATTTTTCGTTGAAATTTGGCACATAAATAGAAAATGCATGTAAAAAATTGCCTGAATAACAAAAAAAGCGGACACGACATGCCTTCGACTGCAAATTCATGTGAAAACATCAACCAAATGTTCAGGAGCAAAATCATCTGTTAAAAAGTCTAGTAACCATACATAAAAGTTTTAAAAAAGTAAAGATTAGCTTCTCTTCTTTCTAAAAAGTATCTATGTGTATATATGTTTCTAAAAAGAAACACCACAAACTTACGTTTACCCCACGCTGCCTAAAAAGAAGTGAAAAAAACGAGTCACAAAATTTTAGCAAAAAAATCGGTTCCGTAAATCACGATATGCGCGTACCTATATATATATATATATATATATATATATATATATATATATATATATATATATATATATATATATATATATATATATATATATATATATATATATATATATATATATATATATATATATATATATATATATATATATATATATATATATATATATATATATATATATATATATATATATATATATATATATTTTATAAATAAGAAAAACATATATAATATATATTTTATATTTATATAATATATCAAGTAGTCTCTACTTGTAATCCACACTCATGAAAAAATACGGCTATAAAGCTTTAAAGAAATATCCATTTAATATTTACCTAACTAACTGCATCACAAGTTAAGCCATGTATTATTGCTAAATTGTCAAATTCAAAACCTTATAAAAAGGCAACAGATGACCTAATTTATTAGCATGTGTGACTTTACTTGTTTTTATTGGGCTAATAAGTAACTTGTTAAGTCTTTACTTGTTATTTGTTATGTTGATTAAAAAATTTAAAGTCACGCATGCGTATTTTAGTTCTCATATTGAATATTGACGTCGATTTTATTTGATAGTTTTAAAACAAATTTTTCAACGTTGATACAACGTTGATTTTTGGTTATACGACGTCGCGACTAAAAATCAACTGTAAATCAACGTCGAAATAACGTCGTGTGCCCACTGGGTCAGGATATCCATACCACTTTACTAATGATTTATTTCCTTGTTTACGAATAACCTTTTCGATTCTAAATATCTCTTGATTCGTTTTTTGTAGTTCTTGTTCATAAAAAGTACCTCGTTTTCTTCACTATTATGATCAGTTATTTTATACGTTGGTGGATCTGTGTACTGAACTTGTGATACTGTGAATACTTCTTCAGTCCATCTTGGTATTTATCCTTTTTTAAACGCTCCTTTCTTTTTAGTTATTCTCACTTTATCGCCTATTGAAAACTTAGGTTTAATGTACTCTGATCTCACTTTACTATTTAGATTCAGCCAAACTATATTCTCATTCGTTTTATCACTTGCTTTAGCTGGAGTCATTTTAATTGAAGAACGTTTTGTGTTGTTGTATTGACTTACCATTTCATCTAGAACGTCAATGTATTTTCTAGTAGAGTTAGCTGAAAAGTACTTGAACATTTTCTCTTTTTTAATTGTTCTATTCCAACGTTCAACTACGCAACTTTTTTCTTTATTTTCAGTCGAGTAGAGCTGCACACCTAATTCTTTAACATGCTTGTTATAAAATTCCAAGCCTTTATCTACCCATAATTTTGTACACTTTCTTTCTTTAAATGTTTTACTAAAAGCATGAGCAATTTTAATTCCAGTTTTACTTTTCAATAGAACAATCCATTCATACTTTGAAAATACATCTATCACCATTAATAAGTATTTTATACCGTCATTGAATTTAGAAAAAGCTTGCAGGTCAACTAAATCAGCAGCCTATATTTCATCAATACCATTTGCAATCACTTTTCTTTTTCTGAATTGTTTTACAACAGGCTTATAAAGTTCGTTTGCAAGTTCATCCGTCCATTTCAGGTTTATTTTAGTATTCATAGTTCCTATGTCTTTTGCTTTTTTACTGATCGCTGGTAGTTTTTTGGACTTACACCCATACCAAACTTTGCTTTAGCAGATAAGATAGGTTTTATAATATTTCGTTCTAATTTTTCACGCTAAGTAGGATTTGGTATGGCATCCATTTGTTTAAGCATTATTTCATCAGCTATAATTTTAGTTGAGTATCTTGATTATATTTATAAGCAAGATCATGAATATAAGCTGCTTTTTTGACTCTATCTACTGGTTTACTCCATTCTTTAGGTGTATCAAAGAAGTTAATCTTTTATCTAAATTAGTGCCAGGTCCTGCAAAGTTTATACCTGGTAAATGCATTTTACCAGGAAACTTTGACCATGGTAATTTTATTTTACTTGTTACTGAATTGATTGAATTGACTAAATCACCTTCTTTCTTTGCTGATACAAATTGAGTTTTTGTTGTTCTACAAATAGAGCAAGTTCCACGTAACATATTTCTATTGTTTTTACTCACAACATTTTGTAAGTTTAGTGTATCTGTTTTGTTTCTACATTTAACGCAGTACATTTTATATATTTAATATATTTTTTTAAATCATGTAAGATAAAATAAATTAAAAAAACTTTATATAAATAAAAATGGATATTATAGATTTAAAATGGAATGTAAATAAAAGTAATCGTAATAATAACAAGTTATTACCTAAAAATATAAGAAGAATTATCGTAGGAAAATCAGATTGTGGAAAAACTACTTTATTACTAAACTTACTTTTAAGGCCTGGTTGGTTAGACTATAATAATTTACAAGTTTTTGGAAAATCTCTTTTTCAGCCAGAATGCAAAATATTAAAAACTTCTTTTTAAAAAAAAAGTACCAAAAAAAGTTATTCTTGAACTTTTTAAGTTACAAGATAAAATAGAAAAATTGAATGCTAGCCCTGAGCTTATAATTGAAGACATTTCAAAAAATTTAAAAGATAAAACAGATATGGAGAGTCAATTTTTTGAAACAGCTGATGATATCCCAGATCCTGAAGAACTAGATGTTCAAAAGAATAATTTGATGATATTTGATGTATTACAATTAACAAAGCAAAACAAGTGTGAAAAATATTATATAAGAGGAAGACACTGTAATGTAGATTGTTTCTACCTTGCACAAAAGTATTTTATGCTACCAAGGCAAACTATAAGAGAAAATGCAAATTTTATATGCTTATTTCAAGATTTTTAAGATTCAAAGAACATAGATCATATTTATAAAGATCATGTTTCTAGTGATATGTCAAAAATGAGTTTAAAATTTTTTGTACGAAAGCTTGGTCAGAACAACGTGGATTTGTTCAAAAAAAGGTTATGGAAAATATGGAAGTGGATTAAATTGTTGTTATATACCAACTTGTGAATTTTCATGAAATATATATTTTTATCAAATATATATCTTAAATAGATCTGAATTTTTTTCAAAAATCTAAAATATTATGTTTAAAAATGAAATATTAGCAAATGGCGAGTTTGGTCCTAATAATAAACCAGCACCTGTTGATGTATATCCATTTCCACTACGTAAGTACATTCCATCACCGACAGAACTTCTTTTATTCCATGGACTTAGAAACAAACCAGATCATGCAGCTATGACTTTCACTCCTTGCCCATTCTTTTTAAAGTAAACAATACCGTTTCCAGCAATTTTATTAACCACAGCATTTCCAGCTGCTGCACCTACTCCTATTAATAGTCTTGTTGCAAGTGAAGGAACAATTTTTGACATTAAAAAACTTCCATCTCTACCTAGTAAAGGTAAAAGTGCACCAATAAATACACCTTCTACTTAAGAATTATGTATGAGTTGTATTTTACTTAAAATAAGTCTTACACCAGTACCTTTTTCATATGCTTTTTCAAATTTATTTAATTGTGTAGATGTTACAGCAATTACGTGTTCACCATTAAGATCTGAATATGATAGTTCAATACAAGCTCCATAACCATCTTCAGTTGCTTTTTTAAGTTTTTTAATCTAACCTTCTAAAACATTTACTTTACTATTATGATATGTTGCCATTTTTATATATAAAGATTTTTTTAAATCATAGACTATTTTTTTCGTATTAAATGCAATTTCTCTTAAAAGAGATATAATGACATTATTAGACGAAAATTCTTTTATATGAAATCTAATAGATAGTTCTTCTCCTCGTAAATTGAGAAGTTTACCATTTTGGTCAACTAATCTAGTCTCCATTTGTGAAATTTTTGTTGTTGTTACTGGTAAATAAATTGGGTTTACTGGTTCTTTTACAATCTTATATCCAGGGTTAACATTTGGGAAAAAGTGAATATATAACATTATCAGTTGTATCATTTACATATGACCCTCCTATAATACTATTTGTTACACGTATAGTGTTAATATATATTACATATGAACACTATTTATGATACTTTCTGATGCATGTTTACCTGACAAGTATACTTGATTGTTAAAACCTAAAATATTTCTAACTGAATTTGGAGATGTAAAATCAACTTTAAATCCTTCTGCAACATTTATAGATGATCTTAATGTACTATTTTTGGCTTTAACTGTAATGCTATTTTCTATTTCACTATTATTAAGCATAATCTCATGTATATACTTATTTATGTCAGCACTTTCATAGTTTTCTTTCTGGAATAGTTATATCTTTCCATTTAATTACATTATTTGAACTATATCTAAAATTATTGTTTGAAGAATCAATATTTGGAAAGCTGTAATAGATTTCTAATCCAATTAAAGCCATTTCATACTCTTTATTATCATCAAGTTCAATAATTGGACCATACCTATTTTTTATTCTTGTACTATTTCCACTTATCAATATCTACATTTTATATATATAAGATTTTTTTTTAGATCATTTTTATAATATAAAAATTATATTCTTCTTAAATGAAATCTAACAGATAATTCTATATCTTGGAAGTTTAAAAGCTTTTCATTTAGATCAACTAATTTAGTGTCCATATGGGAAAAAGATTTTACTATTACTGAACAATAAGTTAAGTTTGTAGGATGTTCGTTAATATAAGAATTACCAGGATATATTTCATGTTGAAAATTATATATAACGTTATCAGCTACTCCATTTACATATGTTCCTTCTATAATACTATTTGTTACACATATCTTATGAGGATGTGTGTATTCTCTATTTCTTGAAACATGTTTACCTGACGAGTATACTTGACTTTTAAAACCAAAAATAGTTCCAATTGAATTTAGAGTTGTAAAATCAACTTTACATTTACTGTAAATATTTAATAAAAATGTTATTGGAGAATTTGAATGAATGTCAATATAATGTTCATAATCTTTACTATACATCATGTTTTTTATATAATTATTTATGTTAGCAATATCATAGTTTCCTTCTGGAATAGTTATATCTCTCCAATCGATTCCATTATTTGAACTATATCTAAAATTATTGTTTGAAAAATTAACATTTATTAATCTGAAATGGGCTTTTAATTCAACTAAAGCCATTTCATAATCATGATCATCTCTAAGTTTGATAACTGGATTAAACTTAGTTGTTATATATGTACTCGTTTCATTAATCAATATATGCATTTTATATTAATGCAAGATTGTTTTATATGATTTTACATTACAATAAAAATACAATAAAAAATAGAAAAATTAAAATGATATAAAAAAAATCTTTACTGTATAAAAATGACTGTTTCAGTACATAAACTTATTAAAAATACTAAAAATGACGAACCTCTAGTAACTTTTAAGTTACATGAATATGGGAAGATGTGAAATATTTGCACAGCAAGATTTTGTAATAAAATCAAGATCACAGCAACTTATTGCTCTAAAGTTTGAAGTAGCAATTAGAAAAGGTTATGCATTAGTTACATTAAAAAGAAAACCTTAAACCTAAGTTAAATTTACTAAATTCTGTAATAGTAGAGTCTGTTGATGATATTATAGTAAGTGTATTTAACAATGGTATGACAGATGTAAAAATTAATAAAGGAGAAAGTTTTTGCTTTGTTTTATGTTTTACAAGTCCTTCTCATAAAAGTTCTGGTTATATAACTTTAACAGAGAGTTCACATGTAAGCAATTCATCTAAGAGTTTACGTGTAATTACTTCATCTAAAAGTGCTGATATATTAAAACGTTAGAAACTCATTTAAAAAAAATATTTCTTTATAAAAAGATGGAATACAAAAATATGGAATACAAAAATATGGAATACAAAAATATGGAATACAAAAATATGAAATACAAAAAAATTTATCCAAATTTTCCAACTGCACCAGAAGGCTCGAGTTTCCAAGATCAAGGTCATGTATATTGCTTACAAAAGATTAGTGAGATTCAAAAAGAAATAGAACGTGAGAGAGAAAAGAGAACAATGTTAAGTAAAAAGTACCGTAGAGCTGTAAGAATAATTTCAGCAATTAATAATGCGTTAATACCAAGAGCACTAGAGCACTTGGAGCAATTGAAATTAGTTTTTTATCAACACTAATTGCATTTCCAGCAATTATTACTTGTGAAGGTGTAGCATTGGGCGCAGATCTATTATCAATGATAGGTGGACAAGTTAATAAAAAATTAAATTTAAAAGCAGAAAAGCATAAAAAGATTAAAGTCTTGGCTGATTCAAAATTAAATACAATAAGTGAATATATTTCTAAAGCTTTAGTAGATGGAAATAAAAATGAACAAGAGTATGAAATGATACTTAGAGAACTTGAAAAATTTCAAGTCATGCTTGAACAAATTAGAGCAAAAGCTAAAATTGAAATTGATGAACAAACTAAGACATCATTAAATAACCAAGGAAGAGAAGAAGCTATTAAAACATTCCAAAATATGTTTAATAAGAATCAAAACACGATTAACAAAGCTAAATACGGTAAGTAACTTCGTTCAACAACAAACGTAAACATGTTTAACAACAAACGTAAACATGTTCAACAACAAACGTAAACACGTTCAACAACAAACGTAAACACATGCTTTTTTTTAATTAGTAATTTAAAAAAAATGGTGCATATATAAAAATGTCATTTTTAAATATTACAGATCTTGAAAAAAGAGATAAAATAGTTAACGAATTTCTAAATTTAAAAAAGAAAGTATATCAAGATTCTTTAGATGATAAGATAAGTGAATCTAGTTTACAGACAGGCTTGACAAAGTTGTATAAGCCGTTGCTAGATAGTCAAACTGGTATAAAAAAAAACTAACTTATCTAAATTAGAAGATAAAGCTAATAATTTAGTACTTACTATTTCAAATGCTTATCCTGAAACTATAGAAATAACGAGTAAAGATGTTAAACCTGATATGAAATCTGATAGTAAAATGATTCCATTCGGAAAATATATAGGAACTATAGCAACAAAATATCTACAGTTCGCATATAGTGATAAAAAGGCAGCAGATACTACATTCGGTATACACTCAAAAAGTGGAAAATTGTATATAGGAAAAAAACCAATACTAATTGATAATAATGATACAATTATCGATGACAAAAAATATATTGGAACTACTGATCTTTGGGAATTGATAACAAAAGCTATTCCTGATAAAAATATATATAATGAAGACGCTCTTGAAGATTATAAAAATATAATAAAAGAAACAAATGCTATTTTTTCTAGTAAATATCCAGGAAAACCTAGATCATCATTTATGTAAATCCGAAGGATTGAGATAAAAATAAATTAAAAAAAAATGTATAGTAAATAAAATGTTAATTGTACAGAGCAAGAGATATATGAAGAAACATGTTATTGGTGAAAGTGGAATATTTGATAGCATTAAAAATTTATTTAAACGAGTAGCAGCGTCAAATGTAGCAAAAGTATCATCTGTTATGCTAAATAGATCAGCTGCTAGTGACTTAGGAAAAACTGCAATAACTGCTGTAATGTCAGCAGGAAAAGAACTTGCTACTACTGCAATATTGGCTGCTAAAGATGTTCCGATAGACAAAGAAAAACAATTAATTCAAAAAGCATCAAATAAAACAATTTCACCTAAAAGTAAAGAAATACTTTTAAATTTGAATAAATCTGGATCTGATGAAGTAACAAATATAAATAAATTAATGATGGGATCAGCAATAAATTCTAGATCTGAAAGATCTAAGAATATTTCAAATGTGAATGCAATTAGAATAGAAAATTTAGTTAAAAAAGGACGTGGATTAAGATTAGCGTAGATCCATATGAAGTAGCTAATTACATATTTTTTTATATTAGAAATCTTTTTATATAAAAATGGCAACTTCTGACGTATTAAATTTTACAGAAACTCCAATTATAGATGAAGGAATCGAATGATATGAGTTCCATGAATATGAGCCAGTAGCTCGTACAAATCTAAATTGTGTTGGAGAAATAAGAATCAACATTGAACAGCAAGATCTGTTTACACTTCCATCTGAAGCTTTTCTCTTGTTTGAAGGAAGATTTCTTAAAGCTGATGAAACTGCTTATGCTAATGGAGATGCAGTTTCACTTACAAACAATGGTGTTATGCTCTTATTTAGTCAAACATTATACCAATTATCAATTACCAAGAAGTAGAATCAGTTTATCATCCAGGTCAAGCAACTAAAATGTTAGGAATGCTCAAATACCCAAATGACTTTCAATTAGCACAAGGATTAAATCAATTGTGGACTAAAGATTCTGCAACAACAGCAGTAATTGCTGATAACGCAGGATTTGCAATAAGACAAGCTTACATAGTTTAGAAACCAATTACAAAAGGAACATTTTCATTTAGTATACCTCTAAAGCACATTTTTGGATTCTGTGATGATTACAACAAAGTTATTTATGGATTTAAACATACACTAACTCTTGTTAGAAAAAGTGACAATGATGCAATTTTTAGAGTTGCTACTGTAGCTGCTGGACAAGTTAATCTTAATAAAATATCATTGTTTATACCACATGTTATTCCATCAGATATAGAAAGAAATAATCTTTATAAAGCTATTGAATCAAAAGTTACACTTCCAGTAACTTTTCGTTCTCGACAGTGTGATACTATAACTGTTCTACAATCTACTACATTTACTTGGAGACTGAGTGTAAAAATATCTACTGAAAAACCAAAATATATTATTGTTGGATTCCAAACAAATAAAAATGGAAATCAAGAACTCAATCCTTCATTATTTGATCATTGTGACTTGAAAAATATGTACATCATGCTTAATCAAGAAAAATATCCTGCTGTTGATTATATTTTATCGTTCCTAAATCAACAATTTTCAAGAGCTTATAGAGATGCATCTACGTTCAGTGAAAAATTTTATGGAATGAATAAACTGATTACACAAAGCAACATAACTCCTGCTTATTATAAAGATTTATACCCACTTATGGTTTTTGATGTGAGTAAGCAATCAGAAAGATTAAAATCATCAGTAGTAGATGCTCAAATTAAAGCAACATTTATTGCAGTTGTTCCAGCAGGTACTGAAGCATTTGCTGTTGTAATATCTGATAGAATGATACAATTTTAATCAGACGGAAATAAAATGAACATTGTATATTAATAACTTGATAAATAAAAAAATACAATAACTTAAATTATTTGAAAATTAGTTAAATAATTTTCTTGCATATATAAAAGGAATGGAAAACGAAATGCAAAACGAAATAATTAATTCTTACAAAAGATTAGAAGAATTAAAATTAGAAATAAGATTTAAAAAAGATAGGCTTGATGAAATAAAATATAAAAAAGGAAAGCTTGAATATAGATTAGCAACTTTACAACTTGGTGTAGATATTAATGTACTTGAATTAGAAGAACTAGAATTAAAAATAAAAGACTTGGAGAATAGATTAAAAGAATTTGAATTAGAATTAAGATCAGAAGAATTAATATTTGAAATTGCAGTAGGAGAAAAAATTTGAAAAAATAAAATGAAAAAATGCGGAATAGATTTAGATTAATGTCATATGTATTATTTAATAAAAAAGTATTACAATTATAAAGAATCAAAAATAATATCTTGCTCAGAAACTGATAAAAAAAGAATAAATCAATTAAAATTTGAGGATGAAGTGTTAGAAGATTTAGAAGAAAGGTTTAATTTAAGTTCAAAATTAGTACTTGATCAAAAAAGAATGAATGAATTAAGAAATATGGTAGAAGTAGAATGTATGGAGAAGTAGAATATAAAAAAGAAGATTTAGAAAAGCTAGAAAAATTATCAATTGTAAATAAAAAAATATCTTTATAAGAAATAAAAGATTGTGAAAATAAAAATAGAAGAATTAATTGGATGCAATAAAATTGAAATAGTAATTTCAGAAATAATAGAATCATTATCAAAAAATATATGTCCTAATTATCAAAAAATGAATAAAAAAATAAAAGAATTAAAACATAAACAAAAATATTACAAAGAATTAGTAAGTGTAGAATTAGAAGATTTAGAACTAACAAGATCAATAACAAGAGAATTATTATATACAATATTTACAATAAAAAGATTAAAACGTGAAAAAAAAAATTATAAAGAGTTAGAAGAAAGAACAGAAGCAATAAAATTGGAAAACGATTTAAAACTAGTAGTAAAAGCAGGATTAGAATTAAGAAGATTAGAAAGAAGATTTGAAACAGAATAACTTAAAAAATATAAAAAAAAACACATAACAATTTAAATTATTTGAAAATATTTTCAATAAATTTTCTTTATATAATATAAATGAGTGATAGAATATAATATACAAAAAAGTATTTATTAAAATTACTAAAAGAAAATAATATACAACAAACATCTAAAGATCACATTTTATTAGTTATGATTGCTATGGATAATAAATTAATTGACAAAGAATTTATACAATCAAATATCATTACTAAAAAACCAAAAAAACCAAAAATTGAAAAAGTTAAAAGAGTGAAAAAAGAAAAAGTAAAAAAAGATAAAAGATCTGTAGGAAGACCAAGAATTTATCCTATAAAAGAAAAAAAGAAAGAGATCCTAAATATGATAGACTAACACAAATTAGAACAAACCCAGCGTCTATTAAACTAACTAATGTAGAAACCGTTGAAGTTAAAATATACAATTCTATATATGATTATATCAGAAAAGAAAAAAAATGGATATAGTTATTTAGAGTCGCATAATGGAAAAGTTAAATATGGTATAAAAAAAGAAGTAATAAATTCTTAAATAGATGATGAAAAAGAAAATGTAGAATAATTTCTTGTAAAAAATAATTTTTTTATAGAAAAAATCTATAAAAATATGAAAAGAAATTTTTTTAGTTTTTTTTTTTTTTAATTTCTTGTCAAAAAATAAAAAATTGAAAATGATATAAATAATTTTCTTTTGTATATAAAAATGGAAAATATTAACAGAATTGAGAAAAATCGCAAAAGAGCAAAAAATCAAATATTATTATAGAATGGGAAAAGCAGATCTTATTATAGAATTAGAGCGAAGAGAATTAGAGCGAAGATCACATATATCAGACGAACCTATTCCAGTACACATTACACCAAATGCTCTAACACTTTCTCAGTATGTTCCAAGTAATTATATAAAAATTTTTAGTGATAAAGTGAATTCATTTGCTAATTTGGTTATGTCCTATGTTCCTGAACCTATTAAAAAGATAGCTTATAAAAAAATTAACGAACTTAATTCTGCAGTTTCTAATTTGTACAATAGATTTATAAATAGAAAACAAGTAAATAAACCAGTAAATAAACTAATAGAATTTAAATTAACACAATCAGTTATTAAAAAAGTTACAAAGCAATTTTAAGCTGAAGGTTTTAAAAAATATGATGCTTTGTCCTTTATGAAATCAGCTAAAAATAATGTCATTAAAATACTGAATAGCAATAAAGGAACAAAGATTTATATCGTTCTTTCATGTGAAATGGAGCGAACTGAACTTAAAACAGGAGAAACTGTTTCAAATATAGCAACTTTTTCAACATTACCAAAGATTGTATTAGAATCAACAGATTTGAATGAACTCTATGAAAGAGCAACAAATAAAATTTTAGAGTTATTATCAAATTTTCAACAGATGGGATCAAGTTGGAGATTTGTATCAGGTAAAAAGATGGACACTCATATGATTGAATATAATCCCATTAAAGGCAAATCTTACATTCCTCTTCCTAAAGAGTTAGCAGCTAAAAAGGAAATCATTAATATTAAAACAAGCTGAGAATTTAAATTGGGAAAATATAAAATTTCCAGTATCACTCCATCAAATTACTCAATTTGAACAAAAAAAATCAAGATATTAGTGTCAACGTCTTTGGATATGAAGAATTATTTGTTTACCCTTTAAGAACATCTGAAAATAAAAACAGACAAAATCAAATCGACTTGTTACTCATTTCAAATGATGAAACTAATCATTATTGCTTGATAACAAGTTTAAGTAGATTACTATCATCACAAATATCTAAACGTGATGGTAATATGCACTTTTGAAGAAATTGCTTTTTAGAATCTTTATCAAAAGTACTGAGCTTTTTAGAATTTAGTACTGAGGAATCTTTATCAAAACATAAATTTTATTGCGATACTTATGATTCAGTACGAATAGAACTTCCAAAACCAAATACAATGATAGAATTTGGTCATTTTAAAAAAACTATGAAAATGCCATTTGCAGTCTATGCAGACTTTAAAAGTTTTATAACACCAATTAACACTTGCACACCTAATCCAAATAACTCATATACAAAAAAATATCAAAGACATACCAAACTCAATCTGCTTCTACATTAAATGTTTTGATAAAAGTGTTTATGAAGCAAAACCAGTCGCATTTACTGCAAGTAGTGAAGAAGATGATGTTGCTCAAAAGTTTGTTGATATGTTCGAAGCAGATATAAAGAAGATTTACAGCGATTATTTAAGATTCCCAAAAAGATGATATTTACACCTGAAGATAAAGAAAATTTTAATAATGCGAAAAAATACCACATTTGTGAAGATTTATTAAAAGAGGATAAAGTACGTGATCATTTTCATATTACTGGTAAATATAGAGGTGCTGCGCATAGCGATTGTAATTTACAATTTAAAATTCCAAAATTTATACCTGTCTTTTTTCATAATTTATTTGGTTATGATTGTCATTTGTTTATAAAGAAATTATCGTCAGAAGGAGGAAAATTAAATTGTATTCCTAACAATGAAGAAAAATAATATTAGCTTTTCTAAAGAAATTAAAGTTGATGAGTTTATTAATAAAGAAGGAAAAAAAGTTGAAATTAAAAGAGAACTCCGCTTCATTGATAGTTTAGGATTTATGGCTGATAGTTTAGATGAACTAGTAAAAAATTCAACAAAAGAACAATTTAAAGAACTAAGTAAAAATATTAAGAAACTATACCCAAGTAGTAAACTAGATTTATTATTAAGAAAAAGTGTTTATCCCTATGAATGGGTTGATTCTGTTAATAAATTTTCTGAAACACAATTACCACTAAAAAAATCATTTTATTCAAGATTAAACTATGAAGATATTAGTAATAAAAATTACTCACATGCGCAAACTATATGAAAAGAGTTTCATTGTAAAATATTTAAAATTATCATACTTTATACAATGTTTCAGATGTATTATTATTATTAAATGTATTTGAAAATTTCAAAAATCTTTGCATGAATAACTACAGATTAGATCGTGCTTGGTACTATACTTCACCAGGATTAGCTTGGGATGCTGCATTGTTAATATCTAAAGTAAAATTAGAGCTGCTTAGTGATTATGACATGATTCTTTTGATTAAACATGGAATAAGAGGTGGAATTAGTATGATTTCTAACAGACTAGGAACTGCTAATAACAAATATATGAAAAATTATGATGAAAGTAAAGAATCAAAATACATACAGTATTTAGATGCAAATAATCTATATGGATGGGCAATAAGTAAACCTCTTCCAACAAAAGGATTTCAATGGATGAGTGAGGAAGAATTAAAAAATTGGAAATCTATTTCTTGTATATTAGAAGTAGATTTAGATTATCCTGAACATTTACATGATTTACATAATGATTATCCACTTGCTCCTAAAAAATTAAAAATAGACAGGGTTGAAAAATTAGTACCCAATTTAAATAATAAAAAAAATTTTATAGCTCATTATGAAAACTTGAAATTATATGAAAGGTTAGGATTGAAAATAACAAAAATCCATAGAGGAATAAAGTTTGAAGATAGTGAGTGGCTAAGTAAATACATTAAACTCAATACAGATTTGAGAACAAAAGCAAAAATTGACTTTTAAAAAGGCTTTTTTAAACTAATGAACAATTCTGTATTTGGAAAAACAATGGAGAATATTGAAAACAGAGCAGATATGAGATTAGCCACTAAAAGAGAACAAGCTATTAAATTAGCATCAAAGCCCAACTATGAAAGTAGAACAATATTTAATGAAAACTTAATTGCTATTCAGATGAAAAGAACAAAACTAGTTTATAATTAGCCCATTTACTTGGGTATGTGTATCCTAGATTTAAGCAAGACTTTGATGTATGAATTTCATTATGATTACATCAAAAGTAAATATAAAGATAAAGCAAAACTCTTATTCACAGATACAGACTCTTTAGCATATAAAATAAAAATAGATGATTTTTATGTAGATATTTCTAATGACGTTAAAAGTAAATTTGATACTAGTGAATTTGATAAAAATCACCCAGCAATTCAAAATGGATTTAAAGTTGGGGAAAATAAAAAAGTATTAGGAATGTTTAAAGTTGAATTAGCAGGAAGACAAATTGAAGAATTTATAGGACTACGTTCAAAGTTGTACTCTTATAAATTACAAGAAAAAGACGTAGTTCCCATAACTGATGAGAAATATAAAAATCCTAAAAAATGTAAAGGAGTAAAGAAAAATGTTATTAAAAAG